TGTATGTGTCTGTGCGTGCGCGTGTATGTGTCTGTGCGTGCGCGTGTATGTGTCTGTGCGTGCGCGTGTATGTGTCTGTGCGTGCGCGTGTATGTGTCTGTGCGTGCGCGCGTGTGCGTGTCCGACCGCGCGTGCGCTTCCGATATTCACAATACATTCAACAACAACTGATTACGGTCTGCGGTGCCCTTCATTCTAGATAAAAACTTTAATGACTTCGCTATATTAACGTTATCATGGATATGCGTCGAGCGCGAGCGTAGTGGTGGTGGTGGGGGGTGGGGGCTTTAATAGCAAAAGCAGTTCAGTCCTTTATTAACAGTCATCAAATCCATGTTTAACCCTCCTCTTGAGGGTCAAACGATTATCAGACACATACTCTTCGCACGTCACTGATATCTAATCTTTCCCGATTTCTGAGCCGTTGAGATTTGTGCCGCAATTCCGTATTTCTCCTATACCTCAAGTTAAGGGGGAAATATTCCCCCGCCATTGACACATCTCGACCTTTGATCCTTGACCCCCAAATTCGACATCCCGAGTCCTTTTCGCGATCCCCCCCGACGTCCCGAATATCAAGACCGTACGTCGAGCGGTTAAGATTTGTGCCCAACTGTTGACGGACGCACAGACGCACGGACGGACGCACAGTCATGCGATTCTACAAGCTGCATCTGACTTCGTCAGCCGAGCTAAAAACACCACTACGTTGCATAGACTTACAGAAATATTTGCTAGCGCTTTCGCTCGCTGAAGGTTGAACCTGCTAACATACATCTTACCGTTGAACAGGACGACGACATGGATGACGGTGACGACAACGATGGCGATGCCGGGGGAGACAGAGATTCAAATAGAGGCGGCAAGCGGAACAAGAGAATGGGCAGAGGAAGACAAAGAGGAAGACAAAGAGGAAGAGGCAGAAGTATGGGCAGAGGAAACGGACAGAGAAAGAAAGACAATCAAGGAAACGAGCATGGTAATATTTGCAACCGCATGATGGCGGTGTGCAATGACCCAGAAGGACCTGAATGCGCTGCTACCCCACGTATGCATACTGGAAGACCTGCCATGTCCACACGTATGCGTACTGGAAGACCTACCATGTCCACACCTATGCACACTGGACGACCTGACATGTCCACACGTATGCGTACTGGAAGACCTGACAGGTCCACACGTATGTTTACTGGAAGACCTGACAGGTCCACACGTATGTTTACTGGAAGACCTGACATGTCCACACCTATGCACACTGGAGGACCTGATATGTCTACACGCATGCCACCCAGAGGACCACGCCTGACCAGTCCAGCAGCGCCAGGTGGCCCCACCTTAGCTAGCTTCTCTCTTCCTGACGTCGGCACCGATGCCGTTTCTACTGACGCAACCGTTACCGACGCTGTCACTAACGCAACCGTTACTGACGCTGTCACTAACGCAAACGCTACTGACGCTGTCACTAACGCAACCGTTACTGACGCTGTCACTAACGCAACCGTTACTGACGCTGTCACTAACGCAACCGTTACTGACGCTGTCACTGACGCAACTGCCACCGGCAGTACCTACACAACAGAGGCAACTACGGAGGCAAATACTACGCCCTAAAGTGTCGAAGAAGTCTTTGCCGCTAAGGCTGCATATATAGTAAACCATCATCTATATACATACGCATTAAAGGAAACCCGCGATAGCAACTACTACGCGCCGCTTGAGCACGATTTATGCAGTGGTTTGAATAAAACTTACATGCGCAGGCGATAGACAGATGATTGTGTGAATGATATAGAGCTCTGTGATTATTGCATACACACGCACGCGCACACACACACGCACATACCCCCCCCCCCACACACACACACAAACACACGCGCGCGCACGAACACACACACGCGCCTGCTCTCTCTCTCACACTCACTCTCGCTCTCTCTATCTATCTCTCTGTCTGTCTCTCGCGTACTTCGCATCTAGTTCACAAACTATCACTCTCAACAATCAACGCGCCAGCATCGTTTATCTTAATCAAGAAATAATAAAAAATGAACGAATGTCTTTTTTAACTTTATACACGTTTCGTTGTTTATTATTTACATTTCAATGCATCGCGAACAGCGGCGACAACAGCGTTACACGAGACGGTCGCGTTCTGCAGCTCCTGTATATTGACAGAGTTACACAATGACAACCCTAACAACGATATATTCTCTCTACTACGGTTACGAACACCGGTGTGGTAGAAGAAGCACGATGCACGCGTGCACGTCTGATTCTCTTGATGCCCTGCGGAGAGCGAGAGAGTACGCTAGAACGATGGCAAGAGAGGAGAGAGAGAGTGAGAGTGAGAGAGAGAGAGAGAGAGAGAGACGAGAGAATGAAGAGAGAAAGAAGAGAGAGAGAGAGAGAGAGAGAGAGAGATGGAGAGCAGAGAGAGAGCAGAGAGAGAGAGGAGAGAGAGAGAGAGCAAGGAGAGAAAGAGAGAGAGAGCAGAGATGAGCAGAGAGAGAGAGAGAGAAGAGAGAGAGAGAGAGAGAGAGAGTACGCTAGAAGGATGGCAAGAGAGGAGAGAGAGAGAGGAGAGGGAGGGAGACGACACATCTTTCCTTGTGTAGTCGCGTAACCACGGCTATTTTACCTCGTGTAGGCTAATTTTTTCCGCGCGTAATACGGTAGTACTCGACTCTATGCAATGCTCTCCCCTCCTGCCTCTCGTTCGTGCTCTCGTGAAATTCGAGCGCGCAGAAAATGCAGCCGATGCCTCGGTGGGTGAACGTTGGACGCATCGCTGCTATCAGTGCCACCTGTCGGCGAAAACACGGTGCGACCGCCGCATGAACTAATGAGAGCAGAATGTACCATTATACTACCTTACTCTGGATATTCACAACAGTATAAGGCGCTTCTTCTCTCACCTGATGTCTATAATTTTAATCGCGAAACCAGCCTCGGTGGCAGCGGCTCGTCTACAACTACATCTACGTCTATATCTACACAGGCCTACATCTATGTCTATATCTATGCCTACGTCTACTACTGGTCACGTGCCCGGTAGTCTCTTCTCCCGCAATGAACACGTAGAAGTCTCTCGAACATCGTGTGTCACACACACAGCCCAGTGTTAGTGCTGACTTACGCGTTCCACACTCAGACACGACTCGGCTAGCGGGCATCCCGGAGTTATACTAGCGAAGCGATAGGTAATTGCGGCTCGGTAATGGGATGACGGACGCTAACACGACGTCTATCTAAGCAAAGCACCGCAAGCGAGTCATTCGGATCGACCTTGAATGATCGCGCACGTAAGAAAATGGCGGGTAAAAACGTCTGCGTCGCGTGCTAGAGAGCGTGACGAGTCACCCCATAGCAACAATAAAATACCACACGAGGTAAATCCAGCAAGGGAACCACCAATATACAAGCCTACTCACTACATTCCCTGTCGATTCGGGTTATGTGAAAACCCATCGCAATGCGTGCCCACCCTAGAGCTGCAGTTTACGAAACGATGTTAAAAACAACATGAAACGTACTAAATAAACAACTTTAAAACATCTTATCAATAAAGCGCATGTAATTTGTGCGTACGTCGTGGTGTCACTTGATGTTTAACACAAATAGTAGCAATAGATTTATCTACATTACAGCGTGTTGTCATATATCTAGGATTAGAGCCACGAATAGCCAAGAATGAAATCGACAGGGCGCAAAGATTGCGCGAATGGCAGTGATTTCCTTGCAGGATGTATTAGTAAGACATTCAAAATCATGCATAAAACCCGCACGCACGCACGCACGAGCGAGCGCGCGCACACACACACGGTCGGTCGCACGCACGCACGCACGCACGAGCGAGCGCGTGCACACACACACACACGCACGCACGCATGAGCGAGCGCGCGCACACACACACACACCCACGACAACAACCATAGCCCACAAGGTAACCCGTGCACCGTTGACGAACTAAATTGAACTCCGACATTTCACCCCCTTTCATGCAAACACGAGTCGACGACACGGTGAGTGAAACAAGCAGATGCAGTTTGTGAGGTAAAAACGAAAACAAAATCGTAGGGTCGCCATCATGCTAGTAGACATAATCAGTCTGGCAGGCAGCGTGTCTGCAACATGCATCTCTACGTGCGTCTCTGATACAACGAGGGAAAACTGCGTATGCCAATACTGGTTACGGTCTGCAGCCAACGCGATAAAGGTATGACAGGCCTAAGTACGGGCAAACCAGAAAAGGTATGGAGGGGAAAAAACAATGCAATAGAAGGAAAAGGATGGGGAGGTAATCTGGTAAGGAGAAAGGACTGGGGAGATGAAGAGGTAATGGGGTAAAGGGCTGGGGATATAATGTGGTGAGGGAAACATGAGTAGGAAGGTTGACGTAAGGCATTACCGAGGTAAAGAGGTAAAGCTGTTAGAAGAAGTAATGTGGTAAGAGAGGAAGGCTGGGGTATGCAATGATCTTTGAGGGGGCAGCTATGGAGTTTGAAAGAGGAAAACAGTGGAAAGAATGGTGTAAGGAAACAAGGGGTAGGAATGGGAGAAATAAATGACTACAATTAAGATGTGAGGATATAGGTATCTGCTGTCATTTCAATTTCAAACAACAGCTTAATTATTGCGTATCAATTCGAACGATGAAAATGAAAAATAAACGAAAAACAACGCCGTCACATTTACTCTAGAATTATTTGAACCAAACAAGCTGGATCCATGGGTCTATCACGATGCTTGCCATTCAAAAACAACGGACAAATAAATATTTTCATGCAAATCCAACACATCACATTAACATGATTACGTCTAATACCTGATCTGTCACCTCTCCCCCTGCGAAAAGAGCAAATACCAGATATTAAATATATAATATCAGATGTGTAAAAGCAAACATACAATCAGATCCCGCGCGTTTAGCCGTGGCAGTTGCAGTCTTAGACTGAATTAAAACACACCACTCTACTAGTGCTACAGATTTATAACGAAGCTAACCAATAACGTTCTATGAGGCAACTGATATTTGTTTATAAAACTGGATAGAGTTCCCATCACATAGAAACAAGTACTATCCCTCCCGTTTATCACATCTAGATATAGATTTAGCAATAAAAATGTTTTTAGAAAATAACACAGCGAGTATATTGGCACATTAAGAAGTTATAAAACACTTCAGATGATAGTAAATAGAAACACTCTCCTATCATAGAAAGATTGATAGTATCTTCGACACATCACTGATTGTGTTTTCTTTCTACACGCGTAACAACTTATACACAATTATATGCTACATTTAAAATTTGTTTACTACCAAACTCGACTATATGATACATATAGATATAACAGGAGAGAAACCATAAATTCAAGTGACTAAAATGGATTAATATATGAATGACGATGTCAATTTTGATTGTTTTACAAGCTAAAAACTCACGTTGGTAAACAGACACAAATACGTTCTTACATTTGCTGTATTACGTATATAGATAAAGACGTATACAATAGACGTATAAACACACAACTCGTATGTACAAACTATTTACGATACAGCGTTGCCACGAAATCCCGGTAGCCAATGTAACAATTAGATTCTTGCATTTAGAGAGTGGCATCTCAGGCTTCCCTTACAAACCCTTCCTTTGCACTCCGTTTCATTACACGCCTTCCCTCAAACACCCCTTTACACCCCCTTCCTTTATATAGCATCATTTCGCATCCTCCTCCTTTACCCCTCACCATACTTCTTACACAGCCTTCGTTTACACAACCACCCCTGCTCTCTTTACACTCCTTAACACCAACTTAATTCACACCCTCTTCCTTCACAGCCCTCATTTTACGCGTCCCCCCCCTCTCACTTCCTTTCGCCCGCACATCCGCTCATCTTACCAGCAGCGCCCCCCTCCACTGCGATACCTCGTCGACGATCTGAGGGAAGGTCGGCCGCATGTGCTTGTCCCACTGCCAGCAGCGCTGCATGAGGGCATACACTCGCTCAGCGCAGCCATCGATGTTAGGCAGCCTGCGAGATGAAACAACAAGCACAGAGCAGTCGGTTATAGTATCTACCCCCACGAACCACGAATACTAGGTAATTAATTATAGGTTATGATTACGATCATACCATCATCGATTATAATGACATCAACATATGCATACTAGGTAATTAATTATAGGTTATGATTACGATCATACCATCATCGATTATAATGCTACCAACATATGCATACTAAGTTATTAATTACTAGTCCATGCCCGTTAGGTGGCCAGAACTTCTGTGTAGACCACATTGTTCATGATGGAACGTTTAGTTGTGTCCTTGGCGTCTACAGCTACAATCTTTAGCTGCAGGGTACTTCCCACGCGGCTAGCAGTGACGTAGAACTTATCGTGGTAGTTGTCTTGTCGATGTTTAATATCTCGACGTGTCAGTGATGCCTTTCTTTTTGGTGGCATTAGCTGGGCACTTAATTGTTATAACCAATTTTTTGCCGTGTGGAAACTTTGATGTTATAACGAAATGCTCTCCATTTAAGAAACAATGTAAAAACAATGTATAACATTTCTCTGGTTAGATTAGATGGAGCGACTTTGGTTATACATTGTTTTTTACATTGCCATTGTCTTTTCGTGTTGTGACGTTGCCCCGCGCTCAAAAGTTGCAAAAATTTCCCACTTTTTTACTGTTTTTGAACGTGGAATGTAAAAAAAATAAAACTGTGAAAAAAAATTCTGTAGAATGTTCCGACCAAGTTTGGAGAGGATCCGTTCCGTTGAGCGGTGCGGAAACGTATAGCTGGACACACTCACAGACAGAAATTCCCCAATTTATAGTAAGATAGGCCATCACCATATCTATCTATATATATATATATATTAATATACAATATAAAATATTCATATATTTTAATACATATTAAAATACATTTAAGCTAGCGATAATTCACCCAACCTACGACACAAACCCCCCTGCCCGCCCGCACCCCTGCCGTCTCTCACCCGTCGTGACTCACCGCTCGCCGTGACGCAGGAACGCCGTGTGATTGGCCAGCATGGTGCCGCTGCCGCTGGGGTCGCCGTCGTGCTGTATGATCGGGTCGGTGCCGTCGCTGAACACCTCCCACAGCGTGACACCGTAGCTCCACACGTCGCTCTCCTTGTAGAAGCGATTGTCGTCCTTCACCTCGGGCGCCGTCCTGCGGAGACAAGCGAACATTCGCGTGAACGCGCGGCGCCGACGAACGAAGCTAACGACGCGAACGAAGCGAGATGACCGCAAATCGTTGAATTGATCTCTCTTTGAGATTACACCCCTCCACTCCGGACGTTACTTACAGGTGTGTGTAAACATACATACACGCACGTACACGTACGTACAGGTTTCGCGCATCGTGACTGCTAAACCAGAGATGCCAACACATATTTGAAGCAATCTGTAGTTTCTGGCCATCAAATTAGTAGTTCGAGGGTCACGTAGTGACCTGAGTTTGCTAGAGGGGTCCGGCATGCCCCCCGGAAAATTTTTTGATTCTGAGATGCAATTTCCTGCATTCTGGGGGTCAAAAATGACAATAAATTGACAAAAAATAACAATAAATTGACAAAAAATGTTTTTTTTTCCGATCCCAGTGAAATTCGTAGTTTGATACAAACTGGTCGTAGTGATGCAAAAGGAATAGAAATTCGTATAAAATACGGATAAATCGTAGTGGTTGGCATCTCTGCTAAACGCGTGCGAGCGCGAGCCTACCAGAGCAGCGGGAGACCGCGGCGAGTCTGCAGCATGTAGTAGTCGCTCTCAACCTGCCGGCTCAGCCCAAAGTCGGTGATCTTCACCCAGTCGTCCTTGAAGACGAGCACGTTGCGGGCGGCAAGGTCGCGGTGAACGACCTGCTGCTGGTGCAGGTAGCGCATGCCCTGCAACGACGACGACGACGACAACGCAGGTGACCCTCAAGGTCGCGGCAACGGGCGGCAGCAGCGAACTTCGCAGACGCTCTCATGATTAAGGTCATGATCAAGGTCACGATCACGGTGGGGTCGTCACAGTGGTTAAGGTTTTTAAACCGTTTTCGGACGTTTGAAATTGTGCGCCAATGAGAAAGTTTATAAAAAAAATGATTATTAAAAATATGAAAAATTCGAATCACGATGCTCGCAGTCTTAGCAAGGAGTGCAGGACAAGTGACATGACCTTTGACCTTTGACGTTTGACGAGTGAGAGACTTTCACTCACGGTTACGTTACAATCAAATAAATTTTAAGAGGTACTGGTCATTACATTTGTGAATGGTGATGAAGAAAAAAGTAAGAATGATAACAATGGACTTGTTCTTAAGGATTTCTTGGCCTGTTAGAGAGAGAGAGAGAGAGAGAGAGAGAGAAGAGAGAGAGAGAGAGAGAGAGAGAGAGAGAGAGAGAGAGAGAGAGAGAGAGAGAGAGAGAGAGAGAGAGAGAGATGAGAGAGAAGAGAGAAGAGAGAGAGAATAGAGATAGCGAGAGAGAGAGAGAGAGAGAGAGAGAGAGAGAGAGAGAGGTAGAGAGAGAGAGAGAGACGCGAGAGAGAGAGAGAGAAGAGAGAGACAGAGGAGAGGAGAAGAGAGGGGGAGAGAGAGAGAGAGGGGGGAGAGAGTTGAGGGAGGCGAAGGGAGGAGGGAAAGGAGGGAGGGAGGAGGAGGGAGGGAGAGAGGGAGGGAGGGAGCGAGAGAGAATACGAGAGATAGAGAGAGAGAGAGAAAGAGAGCAGACGATCAGGAGAGAGAAAGATTGCAAGAGAGCAGAGAGAGAGAAAAGATGACAGAGAGAAAGAGAAGCAGCGAGAACAAGAGAGAGAACAACGAGGAGAAAGCACGAGAGAGCGACATCAACTCGTACCTTTGCGATGTCGAATCGCAAGAAAGCTGATCCTGCTGTTTTATAGTCCCGTCGGCGGCGGTCGCTTCCCAGTCGGTCCCCACAGACAGCCGAGCGAGCGCTACTCCAGATAAGACACGTCATGCAATCTTCGCGCTGCAAACAAACGAAGTCACGAAATAACCGCGAAATGTGGCCAGATTTAGCACAGCACGCACAGGCAAAGGGCAACAATGTGTGCGGTGGCCATATTCGCACCAGGGAGCACGTCGTCGTCCCGTTCGAATAAGCCGCCAAATTTTCTCCTCGCACGACGTACGCGCGACGTTGTCCCGTGTTCTGGCGCCGGACAAGCTAATGGTCGGAAAATGTTCTGCGCGAGCGTTTTCTTAGTTTGAGCGCGCAGCGGTAACGCGTAACAGGTTAAGCGTGTGAGCGCAGCACGCAATCTCCATCTTTTCACTCACCCCCAACCTCCCCTACTCTGCTTCCCCGGCTCTCTCTACGTCACGCCTTACTCTGCTCCACTCCATATTCCACCTTATTCGCTTCCACACCAATCCCCCACGTATACAACGGTCTCAAACATATGCACTAACCGCTGCGAGCATGCGTATCTTCTCCCTCCCTTGTCCTCCTCCTCGTATCTCCCCTCGCCTCCCCGCGTAACGTACGGTCGACGGATGGAGCCACACGATCTGCACGATGTGTCGTGGGCGCCCGCGCAGAGCGCGTTCTCCC